CATTTATGCATTCTGGAGGTCAATATTTTAAATTCTCAATAATTTTGAAACGTGCAGCGAAAAACAAAACAAAAATTAAGGAAAACGGTCATTTTTACGCAAAATCTGTTTTTGACAAAATCGATTTTGGTTTTTGGTGTAACTCTAAAACAAATAACCGTAGTTAGACATTTTTTGACTTGTTTTGAACTCAAGTTTTCTTTTCTTTAAATCCTATCTACAAAATTTTGTTCGTTGGGTCAAAAAGCTCGAAAATGCAATAGAATTGTATATTTAATATTTCCGATAGGTACTTAGGTATATTTTGATATTAAAATTTTTCAAATCGTATTAAGTATTAAGAACTTAGTTATAAATATTAATAATTGGTATATCCTAAAAAACTAATATAAGTATTAAAATAAAGCATAACAAGTCGTTGTTAATAGTAAAAATAGCACACCTATACGTCACACATAGTTCTCATTCAGTCCGTCTACTATACTTGTCTGAGTCCACTTCTACTAATGCGTCATCTGGTGTCGAGTCGGTTGACAATAGCATCTATAATTGTCAACAAAATTTATTCGTTGCCTAATAATGCACGAAAGTGTAATACGAGGCGCTTGATATAATATTGTTACAATTTCAGTTGAAAAAAATTAAAAATATACAGGCACATTTTTTTTTATAAGCATTTAAAGTTCGAATTTTGACAAAATGAAATAATTATTTTTAGTTAAAAACGTATAAAATGTTCAAATTATATATCTAAGGATTGAAAATTTAAAACAAGGTTCCACGTAAATAAGTTAATATGTTATATAAATTACTTTATTCACAATAACATCATCAAATATACTCATAGTAATATCACAGGCTGACTGACCTGATTTTTACTTTCATTATTATTTATTTTGAAGTAAAAATGATATTTTATATATTTAATAACGTATAAAAAAAATAAGTCGAATAAAAAAATAAAGTCACTGAATAAAATTAGTCGAACAAAAAAATGAGTCATCGAATAAAAAAATTAGTCATCGAATAAAAAAAATAAGTAGAATAATAAAATTTAGTCGAATAAAAAAATTAGTTGACTAATAATATAATTATAATATAACTAAATTAGTCACGCGCTTAGTCGGTAGTAATTAGTAATTAGTCACTCCTTCCCATCCCTATCAGAGTGTATTCATACACCGTCGTCGACGCTCGTCGGTATAAGTATCTACCTACCTACACTTCTGACAATCTGTCTGCCGAGTACGGGCCAGAGCAACCACCAGCAAGGGATCCGATTCGGTCTGTATTAGTATCATGACATTATGTTTTTTTGTGTATTATAATCAAGGCATAAACACTTTTTCGAACTCCGTGTAAACAGATCTTTAAAATATGTGATCTAAATATGTGATATTTGTTATAAACAAATGCCAAGTAAATGAGATATGAGTGAATACCTACACGTCTTATATTATTTGAAATTGTAATTTGCAGTGCTTAAAGATCTGTTTTTATTTTTTTTACACGGAATTCGGTGAAGTGTTTCTGTTGTGATATCAAACATTTTTTAGTAATAGTCGAGACGGCAGTTTTTTTAGGGGAATTTATTTATCACTTAGTTTCTTTTAGATTCTGAGTGGAACGATGAATGTATTGATTTTACAATGATGTGTGTTTTTTTTATTTTTTTTTTTTGTGTCTGTCATCACCTTATAGAACAGTATCAGTGCTTGGATTTTCTTCAACAGTATCTTTTCTAATAGGAAAGTGAATCTAGTTGGTACTTTGTGGGGTAAAAAGTAAAAATTTTAGAGTAGTTTTCAAAAGCACCTTGAAAAACAAAAGAAAAATTAAGGAAAAACGGGAATTTTTACGAAAATCTGTTTTCGGTAAAATCGATTTTTGTCTTTGGTGTAACTTTAAAACAAATGACCGTAGATAAATGAAATTTTCACTGGTTGTTTATACTTGCATTTTCTATACACGATAACATTTTCAAAATATTTTGATTTATTTTGAACTGTTTAGGGACATTTTCAGTTTCCAATTTTATTAGTTTTTTTTTTTTATGAATATCAATAAAAATTTATTAGTTGGTTGAAAAAGCTTGAAAATGTAATAGAAGGCTTCTAGTATATTGTTTCAAAGGCAGATGAAAAATATTAAAAATCCTTAGTCACAGTTTTTTTTTACAAGCATTTAAAGTCCAAAAATTGACAAAATATGGAAAAATTATTTTGAGTTAAGAATTTGTAAACATTTTTCATTTTAAATCTAAGATTTTAAAATTCGATGCAAGATTCCTTATAAGATTATCTGCCTTTATCAAGAAATAAATGTCTATTAGAAAGTCAAATTAAATTTTTATGAGCGTTTGAAATTCAAATTTTTACAACATTGGATATTCACTTGATTTCTAATGTAGCGATTTACTATTATTTTTTTGTAATTCAAAAACGAATAACTCTAGATACATGATAATTTCACTGAAAATTTATATTAGCATTTCCTATACACCATACAATTTTGAAAATATTTTGACACTTTTTGAGCTGTTTACGGACATTTTCAGTTTCCAATTTTTTTAGTTTTTTATTCTATAAATATCAATAAAGTTTTATCGGTTATGTCAAAAAGTGTAAACATTTAATACAAGGCTCCTGATATATTGTTACAATATCAGTTGAAAAATATTAAAAATACATGTTCATAGTTTTTTTTTATAAGCATTTAAAGATAGAATTTTGACAAAATGTATCAAATTTAAAATTGAATAATAATTTTGTAGTTAAAAATTTATAAAATGTTCAACTTTTATACCTTACGATTAAAAATATAAAACAAAATTCCACGTAAGTAGTTAATTCTGTTACCAACAAATCTTAAAAATACATAAGCACTGTTTATTTTTCTAGTCTTTTTAAGTTCAAATAGTTTCAATAGTTATTTTGTTGTGATTGTATAATATTATTCGTTGGTACTTGAAATTTCTAAAGTACCTACACAATTATATATCTATGGAGTATGGACTATGATAGTATCAGGGTTTTTTGTTTACTTATAATGCATTATAAGTACCTTATGGATATTGTGATATGATTAATTTGGAATTTATTATAGGTACCTATTTTAGGTCAAATTTTGGTTTAGTACCATAGATATGTATATAATATCTCTTATCCCTAGACTGACATACCGTCTCCGCTCGGAATCGTTTTTCTTATACAATGATATTATATCATTGAATTCAAATTTAATATTATCCATTATACTGTACAGCAGAACACCTTTTTTTTTTTATAAGTATTTAAAGTTTAAATCTAGATAAAATACTTAAAAAATCAAGAAAAGTGCAACATTATTTTGAGATAAAAATTCATAAAATTTTTTTTTTAAATCTAAGATTTGAAAATGTACTTAATGCGAATTCCTAGTAACTTTTTCTACCTTTGTCAAAAAAAAAAGGTCTACAAGAAAGTCGAATTATTTTAAGAACGTATGAAGATCATATTTTTACAAGATTTTATTTTCACTCGATTTCTTATGTAGCGATTTTCTTATTTATATCATATTATGTTTAATTTATCATTTCCTATACTCGATACATTTTTGAAAATATTTTTACTCGTCTTAGCTGTTTACAGACATTTTTAATTTTTAATTTTTTTAGTGCATTTTTTTTCTATATAAGTCTATGAAATGTTATTCATTGAGCCTTAAAACAAGGCTTCTGATATATTGTTATTTTGTTGAAAAATATAAAAATACATAGGTAGGCATAATTTTTTTTTTAATTATCATTTAAAGTTTTAAATTTTACAAAATTTATCAAATTTAAAATGTAATCATTATTTTGAAAAAATAACGCAAAACAAAATATTTTAAAATCTATTTATTTAAAAGGTCTATTGTAGGTTTTCTAGAAAAATTTATTTCATGTAAACAATCTAAGAATTGATAATATTATTTGCAGTATTCGTATTACCAATCTTCACTAGTTATTATTTTAAAATTTAATAGGTAAGTACTAACACTATTTTAAATGACGATAAACGCAAAATTTGGATCCCTAACGTTTTAATTCTGAATAACCATATAAAGGAAAAAATTGTGTAACGTTGTAATTGTAAATAACATAAAACGCAATATTGTTTTCAAATGCAAGTCCTGACACATCCTTTTAATACCTTCAAAGTTAACACAAAACGTATTGTATATAAGGAAATGTTATGATTGATGTAATACGATTATATCCAAATATTATACGCATTCTAAGTATTTATAATAACCGATCAATTATGGGTACATAAGATTTTTAGAGAAATTTTATGAGAGAAATGTTTTTTTATGTTATTAATGTAAACTTTTGTACATTGTAAATTGTTTAGTTTGCTATTTATGTTGGTCAGGATAATTTTTACAATTATGTGTAGGTATATCTAATTATTAAATGTTACGTTTCTAATAGTTTTAGATTGTTTTTCTTCAATTTTAAATTTAATGCACTATATCGATTATTTATACATATTGATATGTTTATAAGTCTAATATTTATAGATTTTGCAATCAAATATGAATGTATAGTAATTTTAGTTACAACATGTATAATAAATCTTTTAGTATAAAATTAATTAATATTTAATGTAAACAAACAATACCCCCCCAAAAAAAAAAAAATTACACATATTACATATTACAATAGCATTTATTATATAATAGGTGGCTCGTATACAGTGGGGGGTTCACCCCCCACGCTAATTTTTAATGCAGGTATATTTGTATAATATAATATAATTAAATATAATTATGTATTTTTAGTTGATTACTTCATGTATTAAAAATATATGTACTTACTATACTTACTATACTCAACGTACAAAATATTCTCGACTCATTTTGGATTTTGGTCATGGTTGTTTTGCTTACATTTTGTTTTTGGTTAGATAATTAATAATTGTAACCATTAATATTTTCAGTTTTCGAATTTATATTTCTTTCATTTGGCATTTTTGAAAATGGAGTACGGAATTGCTGATTTGAAGGACGATTTGAATGGCAGTGAGTAAGTACTCTGTCGACTGTCATAAAAATGTATTTACTTAATTGTTATACCACACCACGATTAAAGACACACCGTGTTACACACACTAATCATAGTAGTTGTATGTTAATTTTTAGTTGGTCAATCACAGCACGTGTACTAAACAAATCCGATATTCTTACATTTAATAATGGTAAACGTTTTACAACAATATTATTTGACAAAAATAGTGAAATAAGAGCTACCGCTTTTGGAGACAATGTTGACCGTTTATTTGATCAACTTCAGGTAACTTGAACATTTTTATATTATGTGTGCTAAAACGTTGAAAATATCATAGATATCAAAATATAAATAATCTCTCGTTCTCATGCTTAATCATTAATTATACTCACTCATTAATTTATAGAAAGTTATGTATTATCTGGTTAATATTTCATGTAAGGATTGTCCTTTTGAGCATTTTATTATTAGGTATATTTATATGCGGTTCTGGTTTTCAAAAATCAGATTATATAGAGACGTTTTAAATGATGTTGACACCCTCGATGCCAATAAGTACGCATAGACAAGTTCGTCTAGCTTAAGTTATGCCGCAATCTTTGTAGCATATATTTTCTTTTTAAATATCATTTAAAATATTCAACTGATGAATGGTGATGCAATATCTTAATGTTAGATACAGGCATTCAGTAGGTATGCCAAAATATGGTTGTCATTGAATAAGTTAATTACATTATTTAATAAACTTATGTTTATCTATTTGATTTTGAATGTATTATGTCTTGATGAGTGGATATTAACTTTTATCAATTCTTTAGTTCTTATAGTACCTATGTATTTATTTATTTATTATGTTTAAAAAGGAAAAAAATGTTTACAATATTAAAAATGGAGAAATAAAAAAAGCAGACAAGGCATACAACAATACAAAACATGATTATGAAATTATTTTTAATAGTTCAACAATTATAAAGACATCTGGAGTTACTGATATTCCCAGTTATCCACAGCTTAAAACAATTGAAAATGTTTTTACAATGGACCTAGGCACTTTTATTGGTAATATTTCTGATATATTAACAATACAATGTATTACCTAACTATTATACTTCCAAGAATTGTTTAAATATTGTGTTTTAATTCTGAAAGTTACTATTGGAGTAATAACGGAGATAGAAGATCCACAGGAAAAAAATGGTAGATACAAATTAAGAAATATCATACTAGCAGACAGTACTGGCAGCGTAAGTACTTATTGCCATTTATTTGTTAATGTTGTTTAATGTTCCTCAAACTTAACTTATTAACTTGAAATTGTATTTGAATAAATAAATATAAATATATAAAATATGACATTACATTAGATCAATATAGATTCAGTTAAGTTGTTGAATAATATTCGTAATTCATAATTCAGTTATTACTTATATAAACTTGATGACAACAATAATTTACTAAATAGTAATTAAAGAAAATAATAAAGATAACCTTTAATTTAACAAACAAATTAAACAATAATATGTCTAAATTAAAATATTATTCTAAAATATAAATTTATTATAAGATGTGACATCAAGTACCATTTTTATTGTTCAATTGTTAAAACATATTAATTAACTAACAAGTAGAGTTTGAAAATACAATATAAAATAATAATTTGCATTTAAAAATATATTGTTCTATATATTTCTCTCTACAGTGGTTTTAAGTACATTCTGTGATAAACCTTAACTGGGAACCGAGGTGGCCGAGGCGACTAAACTGTCGGATGCGACGCTTACAGACGGCGGTTCGAACACAGCCGTGGGTGGCATTTTTCTTCGGACAAGTCATGGTGGCCGGAGAGAAGTGCCGCTATCCCCCCCCCCCCACCGGGAATGGCAGATACCTACGGGTGCCCAATAAAAACCTACCAAACAAAAAACACTTGTGTTTAAAAACTTACAATTTCTCCCCTACAAACCAAAAACAAACAGCTAATGGCCTTTTTTTCCGGGCTTCATGATCAATAAAAAAAAATCATTAACTGTTACAAATTCATTAATTTTTAATAAATTATAAACGGATGTACTTATCGTAAAAGATACATTATTATATTAAAATTACTTTATTTAAGGTTGCTGTTACTCTATGGGATACAAAAGCTACTGACTTTAATGCCAATGAAGGGGATATTATGTCAATAATAGGAGGGAAAGTTATTGATTACAAAAATGTTAAGAAAATAAATGTGACTTTATCTTCAAAAGTCGAATTTAATCCTTGTTGGAAAGAAACCTCCGATCTCCAAAACTGGTACAAAGAATTTGAAAAAAAAAAACCTTTAAATCCATCTCAAGTGTCTGTCGGTTCTCAAGAACTTCATATGTTTGAAAGTATGAAATTAATTAAAAATATTAATTTGTTTTAGTAATAATTAATTTGTATTATAGGTTCTCAAAGTACTAGTAATAAAACTGAATACGAACGTTTTTTGGAACAAAACAAAATTGATGAGGATTTGATGTCTAAAGAATACTGGAGCTGAATGACGAAAAGCTTAAGATAGAATCGGAAATAGCTGATTTGAATCTTAAGAAACAACAACTTTCAAAAGAATGAGATAGTATTAAAAGTCGTTTGGAATACTAATCGTATAATGGATACTTATATATTACATTTTAATATTATTCATATTATTCTCAATTTGTACTTTCTTCTGAATTATAATAATAAGAAGAAAAATAAATAAAACATATATTAACCTACCTATATTAGTGTACATTTGTAGTTTGACACTTACATTTTGTATTTATGTTTTTACTGAGAACCGGTAAAATAATTTTGAATATTTCAAGTCTGATTATAGATTAATTACTATATGAACAATCTATTAACATTTAAATCCATCCATATTATTTCTGATAGCGTATTTAAAAAAATTTAAATATTAAATTTAAATGAACAATATTATTTTAACATAATCAATGTTAAATTATCATAACGGGTATAGTTGCTAGTTATTTATAATAATAATAATAATAATAATAATAATAGCATATATTACGCAAATCAAAAAGATAGTACAAAAGTATAGGTAGATATAAGATAAATTACAAAGATTTGCAACTCCCCTATAAGCATAGCTTGTGATGGGGAGTTTTAATTGAATTTAATTATTGACAATTTACAAACATATTTCTAAAACAAAATTTTCAAAATTACACAATATGTTATATATGGATAATCATAAATCTATTTGTGTAAGATCAACGTTTTTTAAGTACAATTTCAAATCTTTTACATTTTAGATTCTGAGTGGAACGATGAATGTATTGATTTTACAATGATGTGTGTTTTTTTATTTTTATTTTTGTTTTTTTATTTTTTTTATTTTTTTTTATTTTTTTTGTGTCTGTGTACACGATAAGTAGTCAAAATAATGCTTCGATTTTCAACTTTAGTATGTTGTTCGATTGGAAAGTAAATATCCCAGTAGTTTTCAAAAATGCCGGAAAAAACAAAAGAAAAATTAAGGAAAAAAGGGAATTTTTACGCAAAATCTGTTTTCGAGAAAACAAAAGCAAACTTTTTTGGTGTAACTTTAAAACAAATTACCGTAGATACATGAAATTTTCAGTGGTTGTTTATATTTGCATTTTCTATACACGATAACATTTTCAAAATATTTTAATTTATATTGAACTGTTTAGGGACATTTTCAGTTTCCAATTTTATTAGTTTTTTTTTTTTTATGAATATCAATAAAAATGTATTTGTCGAGTAAAAATACTTAAAAATTTAATACAAGGCTCCTACTATATTGTTTCAAAGACAGATGAAAAATATTAAAAACCGTTAGTCACGGTTTTTTTTTTAAGCATTTAAATTTCAAAAAATGACAAAATATGGAAAAATCCCGAAAATTTGCAAATTATATCGAGTTAGAAATTCATAAGAAATTTTCTTTTTAAATCTAAGATATGAAAATGTAATACAAATTTTCTTATAAGATTCCCTACATTTATTAAAAAAAAAATTTATAAGAAAGTCAAATTAAATTTTTATGAGCGTTTGAACTTCAAATTTTTACAACATTGGATATTCACTCGATTTCTCATGTAGCGATTTCTTATTTTGTTGTAATTCAAAAACGAATAACTGTAGATACAAGAAAATTTCACTGAATGTTCATATTCATTTTCCAAAATTTGATATTTATAGAGAAAAAAACTAAAAAAATTGAAAACTGACAATGTCCGTAAACAGCTCAAAAAGAGTCAAAATATTTTCAAAATTGTACAGTGTATAGGAAATGCTAATATGAACATTCTTTAAAATTTGCATGTATCTCCAGTTATTTGTTTTTGAATTACAACAAAATAAGGAAATCACTACATGAGAAATCGAGTGAATGTCAAATGTTGTATAAATATGAATTTCAAACGCTCACAAATATTTAATTTGAGTTTCACGTAGAATTTTTTTTTTTTCTGTTAAAGGTAGACGAACTTATGAGGAATCTTGTATTACATTTTCAAATGTTAGATTTAAAAAGAAAATATTCTACGAATTCCTAACTCAAAATAATTTGCAATTCGTCATTTTTACGTATTTTGTCAATACTCGTATTAGAACTTTAATTGCTTATAAAAAAAAAATTGTGACTATGGATTTTTAATTTTTTTCATCTGCCTTTGAAACAATAAACTAGGAGCCTTCGATTAAATTTTTAAATTTTTTTTAAACAACAAATAAATTTTTTGAAAAATGGAAATATGGAAGAAAAATGGAAACTGAAAATGTCCGTACAGAGCTCAAAATAAGTCAAAGTATTTGGAAAATGTTATGGTGTATAGAAAATGCTAATATAAACGTTCAGTCAAAATTTCATGTAAATACGGTCATTTGTTTAAGAGTTGTGCCAAAAACCAAAATCGATTTTTCCGATAAAAGATTTTGCGTACAAAATCCTTTTTTCCTTAATTTTTCTTTTGTTTTTCATTGCGCTTTTGAACACTACTGGAAAAACTTTGACCCTCTAAAGTACCAACTAGATTCACTTTCCTTTCAGAAAAGATATTGTTGACGAGAATCCAAGCATTTTTCTGTCCTAAAACGTGATGACAGACACAAAAAAAAAAATAAATAAATAAAAAAACAAATCATTGTAAAATCAATACATTTATCGTTCCACTCAGAATCTAAAAGCTGTTGGTAATTTAAGAGAGTTGTGACTATATATGACTAAATGACTTAATATGATAATATGACTGCTCTTCTTGTGGCTGTTTGTCCGTCTGACGAGCGTTTGTCCGTCAACGTCTCTCGTCGGGTCAGTCCTATATCAGATCATTACTATAACTTTTAGTATATCAGCTATAGGCCTGCAAGTGTCGTAAATTTTCGGCCCAGTCTGGTCCATCAACTTTATCCTCAGGCCTTGTCCAAAAAATATTGTGAAAAAAAAGCCCTGACCCGGTCCGAAAATAATGATAAGCTCGTAAAAAGACCTCTCTGGTCCATAAATTGTATCCTAAAGTTAAATCAACTTTCAACTCTTAACTTTTTGTTATTGTTGCATATTAACTTATCTTAACTGAGTTAAAAAAAAAAAAAATCATTAACTTGCTCAGCCTCGCCAATTCGTGACTTCTACTATTACTATTTTTATTCGAAGAATAAGTTCGATTCACTTTTCCACTGATACCGAAGTTGAAAATCGAATCATAATTACGATTACTCATCATATACACAGCGACCCAAATAAATTAGTATTAGTGCGAGGGGAATCCCCGTGTAAGCGCGTCTAAAACATTTAAGTATATCTACTGACGTAATTTTAAAAAGTTAAATATTTTTTGAAAATATAATATGTTCTATCTACATAATTTGATGACATTACGAAACAATAATTACCTACTTTTGAAAGAAAAAATATAAAATTGTTTCTTGCACGTTTTTTTTTCAAACCTTGATGGTTAATAGGTATTTAATATAGTTTTTACAATTTTTCCCTTTTCTTAATATACCCAATAATGAATAAATATATTTTTCTATATCGTGGACAAAATGATATTTTTTTTAAATGATTCCAAGATGTTCACTGTTACATGATTATCAGAATCAGTAGTCATTTTTTATGTGTTTATGGATTATAAGTATTAAAATTTTAGACGAACCGAGTGGAGTAGTACGTGGTTACTTCGCAAAATGTTGGTCCACTCCTCTGCTAATCTATACTTTAATACTTAAATTTAATTCATAAACTACTTCTTAAATTCGATTTTTTTGTACCTATTGAAATACTCGTGTCCAAATTTAAACTACAATTTTTTTTTTTTTTTTTTAAACGGTGTTTATCATTTTTTAGATTTTTGGACTTCAGTAAGAAATACACAAAATAAAATTTGTATTGCATTTTTAAATACTAGATTTAAAAATTGAACATTTTATAAATTATATCTACAAAGCTATTTGCAAATTTTTATGATTTTCTCGAATTTAGTCGATATTTGAAAACAAATGCTTATACAAATCGCAAATGTATAAATAGCCTTAATGAGACAAAATATTTTAAAATTTTATCTGTTTATAAAATATAAGTCTACAACTAGGTATTCGTTTTTGTGTTCATTAAAACAAAATGGTGGTGTTGTTGCGTAAAAATGACAGTGTTTCTTATTATTTTTTTGTTTTTCACAATTATTTTGAAAATTACAGGAACTGTATTACTTATGCATAAGAAAAAAACAGATATTTTCTAATTTCTAATTAATCTAACGTTTGTAAAATGTTCAAAAATTTGCTTGAACTTCGAAAACAACAGCCACCTCGATAAAAAGGAAACTTAAACGAAATTAAATAACATTACAATACCAATACCGTGTACAACCTGTACACAAACTGTACAGTAGAGCGGTTATATATTTGTCCACTTCTGTATTTACCTGTATTTTTAATATTAATAGTACCGTATTATCTATTATTTGGCCATATATAATATTCGGAGAAGTAAAAAAGGCTTTCTGTGTGTAAGTTGAAGAGATTGGGAGAACAGATAGAACTTTGGTGTTAATAAAGATGTGAAATCAATCTCAAAGTTCTGTGCCAAAAAGGGCCACGGTTGAAAAAATAGAATTTGGGGCTTAATAAAGAAGTGAAATCAATACCCAAATTATGTGCCTCAACTTGAAAAAATATCTTATTCAAAAAAATGTCAAGATGTTCAACTGTACAAACATTAAAAAAAAATATTAGCTCAGAACGGCGTGAATTACAGTTTGTCAACAAAAATTCGAATCAAACAGATTAACTCGTAAACAAGTCGACAATTTATGGCTAATTTTATTAATTCATCATTATTGTACGCCGTTCTGTGTTAATATTTTATTTTAATGTTTGTACAGTTGAACATCTTGACATTTTTTTGAATAAGATATTTTTTCAAGTTGAGGCACATAATTTGGGTATTGATTTCACTTCTTTATTAAGCCCCAAATTCTATTTTTTCAACCGTGGCCCTTTTTGGCACAGAACTTTGAGATTGATTTCACATCTTTATTAACACCAAAGTTCTATCTGTTCTCCCAATCTCTTCAACTTACGCACAGAAAGCCTTTTTTAGTTCTCCGAAGTAGTTATTTTGAGGATTTCAATTATTTTTCCGAAGCACGTTTTACTGTGATATACTGAGGTTTATATATTATATTATATTTATGGATTACATTTTTTTCTAATTATTATTTTTATTTATGAATAATAATTCTATAAAAATAGAAATACAATATAAATGTTTATAATTATATAATATATAATTATTAATTATAAATTTATATTAATAACACAATTATTTAATAATAATAATTATTATTATAGTATTAAAATAGTAATAATAGGTACATATTTACGTAGCTGTTGTTTTGTAACAATAAATCGCGTAAAATAACGTATGTAATAATAATGTAAATGCACGAGACCTCGGTATCGCAACAACGCGAGTACGTAAAAAAAAAATTTATAATATAATAAAAATAAATAATAATTAATAATAATTCTGCAAACGTAAAACTAGCTAGCTGTAAATAGCTGTTGTTGTGGGTGAGGTTCGCGGTACGGTAGCGGCCGGCGCGTGGAGGTTGCTACGGCGCGGCGTTGAATGGCGTTGCTATGACGGACGAAAGAAAAAGACTCACAAAACTGCAGTTTTTAGCTCTGTCTCTCTCGCACTCTGCATTCAACCAATGCGTGCGAGTGAGAGGTCCGAAACTTAATGTATAATAGTCTCGCTATCGGTTGTCAAGGTGCTGTTTCTTATCGGTGTTACTTATGCACAGAAAGGAGTCTCTAGTGAGACTCTTCGATTTAAATAAAATAAACAATTACTGAAGTATATAATTACGTAGTATAAATGGTGTTTTTACAATATGTAAATAAAAATGTTTTGGATTATGACTATCTAATCAAATAATCTATTTTTATCTCCACTAAAATAATCAAAAATCAAAATATATCTATGAGAGTGCTACAAAATAAACCATTGTATAATCCGTTAGGTAACCTATATGTAATTAGTTAAGATTACAATTAATCTTAAATTTAAAATTAATATTAATATAAAATTTTAATCATAAATAAACAAACCACATAGGTACCCATGTTCTTTGTAAAAAAAAATTTGTTAATTTATTTAAATTTTAGAGATCACAGTAGTGAGTAAAATTTTCCATCTGTATTTGTTTTAAATGTTTTCCATCCAAGTGCTGAAGTCAATATTAGCGATCTCTGCCACACAGGACCACCCGTCGTGAATATACTAACTATTTAAACTATTATAGTTTAAAAATCTTGTGTTTGTTTGTGTATAGTAAACCATGGCCGTAACGGTTTCAAAGTCTAATCACCAAAATGATGTGCTTTCGTAAATGTTGATTTAAATTCACTATCTACACCGTCAGCCAGACACGTGAACGGACAACAGTTTTTGGCTAGAAAAAAGTTTGATATTATTCACAAGACTTTGTTTCTATGATAATAATTACCATTCAAATAATATCTTTTATCTTACCTAAATCACTGTCCGCCATGATATTAACAGTATCACCACAATCATCCTTATACATGTACGCACCCGGTTCCTTGTAACTAAATAAAATTACATTATTTTAATGGTATACCTATCAATATTTATTATAGCTGATTATTGTCATTTGTTTGTGTTTTGGGCTAAAGTTAATAATTTTTGTATATAGCGTGATTATTTCAACATTAAACACTCATCATTTCGAAAAATACATACCAAATGCCTTGTTATATTTTTTAAACGTTTAATATTATGGTAAGTTGAACATTTTTAATTTCCATGGGCTTATATATGAAGTAAAAATACTTTTATAGTTATAATTGATTTTTTGTTAGTTTTGATATATAGGTACCCTCTATTAACCATCATATTAGTTTTGTTTACCCACTCAATTGTTTTAGTCGATATGAAGTGTTTTTCATTTAATTTTCTTTGAATTACGTTAGAAAACAATATAAATGTATTATGACAATGAGTTAGTATTTGCACATGTTGCTGTTTTATCGTGTTGCAGTAAGTTGTATTCGTAGGTACTATAATGAGTTAATAAATTATAAAAAAAAAAAAAACTTTACCTGTAGTTGTACATCGTACATTGTTCCATAGAGTTTTCCGGTTTGCAATAGCCTAGTTTTGCAGCCCACGGTGTTTGGATTTTTTCCTGTTGTTCTGTTACCTTGTAGCTAGACCTTTGAGTCGTGTTTAGGTCCATTTTGTCCACGGGAACGGTATAACTATAATGATTTAATACGAATATAAATATTGGCAAGTCAAAATAGGTTTTCATTTAAACCCTACGGTAGCCCTGGTCCTTAGGACTTGCAAAGTCCGGTGCCGAAATTATAATCACGACACAAGGTGCGTAAATAATATTGCGAAGCCAAACACAAATATCTATTTTCAAATGTCTTTAGAATACCCACTAATTTCCCCTTTCGTATTGATTCGAAGACAACGAACTTCAGAAGAACTGATGCAGCGTTCGTCATTCGTTCAAGCAGAAAAAAATATATACAACGGACGGTTTTGGCGATAATGGGTACAAGTAAGTTTTTTCGATATTTCG